GTGTGTGCGTTTTTGTGACAAATGAGGACATCAATTTGTATAATGACAAAGGTATTGTATAGGTATTACAATGAGAAGGTGACTTTTCAGGACATTACCCCATGTCCCCACTTTTCAAAACACTTATAAATCACACAGAATGGAGTGTATTGAAAATCTGAAATAGCACAAAGTTTCCTGTAAGGGGTAGGTTTAGGGCTAGGGTTGGTGTAGGGCAATAGAATATACGGTCTGTACAGTAGAAAAACCATTACGCCTATGGGATGTCCCCACTTTTCACAAAAACAAACCTGTGTGTGTGTGTGTGTGTGTGTGAGAGAGAGAGATGACTGAAAGGAGCTTTTGTTTCTTTTCTCAGTATGGTGACTTTGACCTGTGACCTCTTGTCTGTTTGGAAAGTGACCATCAAAGCACTGACCTCACACACACTCTCACCTGCTCTATGTTGAACCTATGTTAACTTTCCTTAAGATTTATTTTTAAACAAAACAGGCCTAGAAGCCGAACTAGCCTTGTTGAAGATCTCAAAACTAACCGAATTCTTTTTAAAACTATTATATTCTTACGCGTATATGGTTTTGCAGAATCGCTTCAGCTGCACGAGTTACATAATATCTGCTGTCCCATTTGAGCCTGACCAAATCAGATTCGGCTCGTCCCGTTCCCCTGCATCATGTGTTTCTGAAAGGAGCTTTTGTTTCTTTTCTCAGTATGGTGACTTTGACCTGTGACCTCTTGTCTGTTTGGAAAGTGACCATCAAAGCACTGACCTCACACACGCTCTCACCTGCTCTATGTTGAACCTATGTTAACTTTCCTTAAGATTTATTTTTAAACAAAACAGGCCTAGAAGCCGAACTAGCCTTGTTGAAGATCTCAAAACTAACCGAATTCTTTTTAAAACTATTATATTCTTACGCGTATATGGTTTTGCAGAATCGCTTCAGCTGCACGAGTTACATAATATCTGCTGTCCCATTTGAGCCTGACCAAATCAGATTCGGCTCGTCCCGTTCCCCTGCATCATGTGTTTGTGTCAAACTCCTGCTCAGTGCCTACCTGTGATTAAACTGGACACCAGAAGAGGGAGCACCAGCATCTGCAGCATTCTCATCAGCAGCTCTCCAGGAAAGGAGAAGTACTTCACCTCTCGATAGGACATTTTATACGGCCGCAGTCCGAATCCCAGAATTATACCTGTGAGAAAAACACACATGCACCTTTAATTGATCTGTAAAAAAACTTTTGCATTTAGCTTTAAAAAAAAAAAGTGTTTAGGTTGTTATGTAACATGTTTTTTTTATATACTGAAACAGAAGAAGACAAATGAATGTCATGACTGTGAAATAGTTCAAGTGTGTTGTACTGTGTCAGTGCTGAAGTCCGAGCACAATACTGTCTTTGTCAAAACAAGCCTAAAGAAAAGCTAATGGAATTTCTATCACAATTTGGAACTAATCATAATGGGATCCAAAGGGAAACCGGATGTTAGTTTGCATTTAAAAAACAAGATTTCCACTTCATCATATTGGTTCCAAAGTATCATAAAAATTCAATTGAAATGTTCAGTATTTTTTTTTAAAAGCTAAGGTTCAGTGTTTTATGATATTCAATGCGAAAAATAAAATCTAATATGTTGAATATGATGTTGGCATAACAAAATACTTGCTAAATAATGCTGTATGACATTAAATATGTTCCCTTGAAACATTAATGTATGTAATATAAATTAGGAGATTAATCAGCCATTTTTTGGCCATTTTGAGATTCACAATTTTATAAATTTCACACACACAGTAGTGCTGTCAAACGATTAAACGCACCCAAAATAAGTTTGTTTGCATAATATAAGTGTGTGTTCTGTGTATATTTATTATGTATATATAAATGCACACACATACAGTATATATTGAAAATATTTACATGTATTTCCATGTCTATATTTATATTAATGTAATTTATATTATAAATAAATATATTTAATATATAAACATAAAATTTTTCTGAAATATATACATGCATGTGTGTGTATTTATATATACATATATTAGCACACATACATAATGTAAACAAAAACTTATTTTGGATGCGATTAATCGTGATTAATCATTTGACAGCACTAACACACACACATATATATAATATATATTAAGGTTATTTTATGTAATGTTAAACTTATAAAATTGTGAATTCTAAATAAATATTTTTGTAATATTCATTTTTTGGTTTTATATTAAATTGGTTTATTCATTAATATTACATTTTAACCCATTGTATATAACATATTTAGCTTTATATTTAATTGTATTTTTATTATTTACACACACACTTATATAATATATATTAAGGTTATTTTATGTAATGTTAAACTTATACAATTGTGAATTCTAAATAAATATTTTTGTAATATTCATTTTTTGGTTTTATATTAAATTGGTTTATTCATTAATATTACATTTTAACCCATTGTATATAACATATTTAGCTTTATATTTAATTGTATTTTTATTATTTATTTTATTCCATTATAATATTATTAAATTTTCACTTTTTTTTTTTTTTTTTACTTGTATGCAATTTTTACTTTTATATTTATTAGCATTTTGATTCAATTCCAATATTATGTAAATCTACATTTGTGGGTGTTTTTTCCCTTTCAGAGTAGTATAGGCACAGACAGTCATCTCAACGTCAAACATCATCTCACCAATGATGACGGCAAGGACTGTGAGGATGACGAAGGCATTCCGCCTGAAGAAGCCTTTGACGTCATCAGTGGTGATGTTCTGTACGGTGTTGCGCGCCCGCTGGGAGCGCTCTGTGAAGCCGGCCCGCAGCTGCTGCACTCTGCTGCGCTGCAGTCGCGTCTCTCCGTTACTCTGAGTCATGCCTGATGGGGGCGCCACACCGGAAACACCAGACACCGCTGAACGATTAACGGGAAACACTCCGCTTCGAACAATAACTGCAGAGAACAGCATACAGGTAACCTCTCTAATGCAATAACCAGCTAAGTAATAGTAATATTAGAGGTTACTCAATTTTTTACATTTTCTTACGAAATTGTGAGTGCACCGAAAAAAGTGGTGTAGGATTTACATTGAAACAATTGCCACTCAGAAATACAAGTAAATTTCACAAAACAAATTACAAAGATACAGCAAGTAACGTTGAATTAAACGTGAAATTTTAGAAGGTAGAAAGGCTGAAATAGTATTTCTTGTAAAACGTACTTATTTACCATTTGGTGGTGGTGTTTTCTCGTACAAAAATTGCCGCCGATTTTGTGTTTTTTACTGTGTTTGCATCACTGCCAGTGTTGGGGGTAACGCATTACAAGTAACGCGAGTTACGTAATCCGATTACTTTTTTTCAAGTAGCTAATAAAGTAACGCATTACTTTTTAATTTACAAGAGAATATCTGAGTTACTTTTTCAAATAAGTAACGCAAGTTACTTTTTTTTTTCCAATTTATTTACTGACAGCTCTCCTGTCCCCTTGTTCAGAGAAATCAGATGTTACTGTAGTTCAAAATAAATATGAATATGCATTAATTCATCTCACTCACAAAAAAAAACACAGATTCAGTATTCCTCAAATTGAATAAAAATAATGCAATTCAGAATATGACGCAAACCTGCAATAATTAAATGTTAAACAACACAAATATCCTTTATGTATAAATCCCATTCTATTAAGCAATGTCTTTGCTTCTGACCTTCGATGATCCAGTTCAACCGTACTAATAAGCACAAATTACTCTAGACAACATTTGTGTGTCTTTGTTTATTGCTGAAGTGTGTTGAAATTTCTTCTTCTGCACTCTACTGTACGGATGTAACTTTACTTTCCCTTCAGCCTGAGGCTTATTCATTTCACATTTGGTGTGAAAAGGCTTTTATATTTGCCAAAAATATAACTTTTTTATTTTAAAAACAAACAAGCAAGCCCTGTCCAGATTTAAAAAGTAATGCAAAAGTAACGTAACACATTACTTTCCATAAAAAGTAACTAAGTAACGTAATTAGTTACTTTTTTATAGAGTAATTCAATATTGTAATGCATTACTTTTAAAAGTAACTTTCCCCAACACTGATCACTGCACAGTAAAAAAATATTTTGTCATACTTGCAAATTTGTCAATAAAACAATGATTATTGGAGTACGTTTAAAAAAAATACTATTTCACTCTTTCTACTTCAATATAATTTTTTTTTCATGGTAGGTGTCTGCAAATCAAAAGAGATTAAACAATTGGATTGGTCTATGTCATGTTTTAGCTTGTTTTATCATCCACAAAGTGAAAATCATGAATCACATCTTCAAGATATGTACAGTAATAGCACACTTTTCTTTAACAGGCCGCAAGATTTGACCGTATTATTATAATTAGGTTAGTAGTTTGTTCAAAGCAACAATAATAGTGATGCTTGCTTAAAACTAAAACACTTGAAACTAATCTAAATTGTAAAAAAAAATTACGGTTAAAAAAAGTGCATTTTACAAGAAAATACTGTTTCAGTTTTCTAGCTCAAATTTCATGTTAATTCAATGTGTTACTTTCCGTTTTCTTTAATTATTTGTGAAATTTGCTAGCAATTTCTGAGTGAAAATTGTTTCTACACCATTTTCTTTAAATGTGAAATTAAATTTGTAGTACACTCTTTAAAAACAAAGGTTCCAAATGGGGTTTTCGCAACAGTTCCACAGAAAAAACATTTTTGATTCGTTTCCCTAAAGAACCTTTCAGTGAACAGTTCTTAAAAGAACCATTTTTTTCTCAGTATGAAAAACATTTGATAATCTATAGAACCCTTTTACACTATATAGAACCTTTTGCGCAATAGAAAGGTTCTATGAATATTGAAGGATCTTCATGGAACCATTGATGCCAATAAAGAACCTATATTTTTTTAATAGTGTAAAGAACCTTTTGAGGTTCCATGGATGTTAGGTTTCTTTTAGAACCATTGGTGGCAATAAAGAACCTTCACTTTGAAGAATGTAGGTTTTTTTGTCATTTGGAAAGATACACATCCAATGCATCCAAATTTAGGTTCTCTTCACCAAATAATTTTTATTTGACTAGAAGTCCCTCTCAGTCTGTACGTTAAATTCTTGTACCATTTGCACACAAACAGTCAGACTGCAAACATGTGTCCGAATGATTTCATTACAAGTGACTTTAGCAGGTCAGCGCACAGGTCTCTGAAACGCAGCCAGATGCGTCTGCGTTCAAAAAGTTACTTGGAACACAGCCAAGTGTGCTAGGAACACAGCCAGACCAAACATTGCCACTCTCCCTCTCACACACTTGGACTCACATGGTCTGAGAAAACTCCCACATTTAGAACAATAACAGACAGTTACTCACATCAAAATAAGGGATTCAGTCCAACCCTTCCTCTGATGAAGATCCTCTGCGCTGAGAGCCTGGAGAGAAGTGTGTACTTAGAAAGAAAATCACAGGAGTCTGCAAGGAAGGCCCTGCAAGCGTGAAGGGTGTGAGTGAGAAGGACAGGGAAGAGCCAATAACAGAGTGGAGGGAGATGTGAAGGGGCGGAGCATGCTGAAAAAGAGAAGTTCTTTCATATTGCCAGCTCAACTGTGGGAGGGGCTTTGGAAAGAGCCCCTCCCACTTTAGATGAAGAGATTGTTTTCACATGCAGTTAGAGCCACATGAAACAAAAACTGATTACTGACCTAATGTGAACATCTTGGATCATTTTCAAGTCATCTGGATCATGATCAAGTCTTGTAACAACTTGTGGGCTCTACTCCAAGTCAGTTAAAATGATATTCACAACCCATTTCATTTGCATAATCTGACATATTTGGGTGAAGTGAGGTATTAGTAAGTAAGTCAATTTTATTTAAAGAGCACATTTAAATTCAGCTTACACTGACCAAAGTGCTGTACAAGACAATCATAAAATACAGTAAAGTATCAAAAGAAATATTAATTAAAATCCAAGATAACAATACTAATCCATAAATGAAAAATCAGGAAAGGCCATAGAATAAAGATGCGTTTTAAGTCTAGACTTAAAAATCGAAATAGACCGAGCACTCTTAATGTCAGGTGGCAACTGATTCCATAACCGTGGAGCAGCTACCCCAAAGGCTGTGTCACCTTTAAACTTAAGTCGTGACCGTGGGACATATAAAATAGCTTTATTAGCAGATCTGAGAGATTTAGGAGCTTAATTAAATTAGATAAGATCAGAAATGTGTGATGGGGCTTGTCCATTAAGTGCTTTAAAAACAATCAACAAAATTTTGAATTGAATTCTAAAGGAGACTGGAAGCCAGTGGAGCGACGCTAAAATTGGAGTGATATGATCACGTATTTTTGCACCAGTTAACAATCTGGCCGCTGCATTCTGGACCATCTGCAAACGAAGATTGAGGAAGACCTAGGTATAAGGAATTACAATAGTCCAATCGTGATGTGATAAATGCATAAATAATTTTTTCCAAGTCTTGAAAGGAAAGTGTTGATTTAAGTCTAGAAATGATTCTCAATTGATAATAGCTGTTTTTAACAACTGAGCTAATGTGCTTTTCAAGTCAAAGCGCCAAATAGTCAAAAATAACACCTACATTTTTTGCATGTGACTTAACATATGGAGTGAGACTGTCTAAGTTACTAACTATAGAGTTTCTGGTTTTAGAGGGACCAAAAATAATCACCTCAGTTTTTTCATTATTTAGCTGGAGGAAATTATTCCCCATCCAGATTTTAATGTCTTTCAGACAGTCCATAAGAGGCTGCAGAGAATTTCTAGATTTTAATGGAACGTATAACTGAGAATCATCAGCGTAGAAATGAAGAGATTTTATATTTCCTAATTATATTACCAAGTGGAAGCATGTACAGATTAAAAAGTAATGGACCCAGAATGGACCCTTGAGGAACGCCACAAGGGAGAGAAACTGATGATGAGGAAAACTGGCCGATAGCCACTGAAAGTGTCCTGGATTTAAGATATGACTTAAACCACGATAATGCCATATCCTTAATACCTACCCAATGTTCAAGGCGTGACAAAAGGATGTCATGATCAACTGTGTCAAAAGCGGCACTTAAATCCAATAAAATCAAAACTGCTTTTGCATCATCAGCCATTTGTCATTTAAAACTTGCAAACGAGCTGAGTGGGATGATATATGACATTGTGTGGTTTTGTTTTGGGCACCAAGAGTGACTGGAGTGAAATCTGGCTGCTGATCAGATAAGATCCGCAGCTCCGTTTGCACCGTCTCTCTCTTCTTTCCAGGAAGTCAGAGTTTCATCATATGTTCGGTGAAAAGGGAAACTCACAGAGGAACTGTCTATGCTAAGAACAGACACTCAGAGCAGAACGCAGAGGTTAATGTGAGAATTTAAAAGAATTACAAATTGATTTGAAAGGAAACACTGGTGCTTTAAGAAATCTGTACAACAAAGAGTGTTGGAATAGTTGGAGTCTTCTGTGTGTGTGTGTGTGTGTGTGTGTGTATTCTCCTGTGTGTCTATACTCAATGTCACTTTCAACATCTTTTCAGCAGCGTCTGCCTCACCTGGAGAAAATCTAGCTCAGGTGAGCAGAATAACCCTGAACACTGTCTGCTAAAAGCCCTAAAGGGGCTCATTACAAGAGATTGGGCAACCCTGAGTGACATTATTGTTATTTCACCTGATGATTGTGATGGTGGTATCAGACTCTGCGATGCCTATTATAATGGAAATAAAGTTTTAGTCAAATGTAAGCCTGCTAAGTGTGTAATTTTCTAATGTTAAAATACTTGGTAACACTTTACTTGAAGGGGTGTGCATAAGACTGACATGACACCTTCATAATCATGACATGACACATGTCATGAATATGAAGGAGGTTTTATGCATGTTTATGACAACTGTCATTAAGTGTCATTCGCTCAGTTATGTCATTTTTAATGCAAATATGACATTATTTGACCTAACCCTAACCTAACCCTACCCCTACCCTTACCCCTAACCATAGCCCATAACAAAGACATCTCAAACAATGTCATCTTTGCATTAAAAATGACATAACTGAGCGAATGACACTTAATGACAGTTGTCATAAACATGCATAAAAAACCTTCATATTCATGACATGTGTCATGTCATGGTTATGTAGGTGTCATGTCAGCCTTATGAACACCCCTTCAAGTAAAGTGTAACCAAATACTTTCACCTATCCAGATTAATATGCAAAGTCAATTGGGTTGTTGGTTACTTTCCCCAAAAAAAGTGTGGATCTTTTTTTTTTTGGTGATGCAAATTACACACTTCAGCTTTAAAATGTGGGGGTAGAAAATTACTCTGTAATGAATTCTTCTGTTTTGGCATCCAATATTCTTAACATTTGACATTTAATTATATTCTATTCAAGAAATGTGGTTCTCTATATGAACAAACATTAAATATATTTTAATTTTAAAAAGAAAATGTCTTTAAAGTTTTTATTCTCATTCATTCATTCTTTCATCCATGTGCAGGTAATACGTTTATTAGTCTGTATGAGCAAACATTAAATAGATGAAAAAATTATTACATATTTATTATTACTATTGTTTATATTTTATTCAAGGCATTGAATATGAAGTAAATAACTACAAACTTGAATCAGTGAAAATCTGTAAAGCTGCATAATCTAATACAAAAGCCAAACAGTTATTTACAGTTTATTCTAGTAGTGTTTATTGTGTTATAATATCTTGTGCATTATTTACAGATAGTTTTGTATGTTAAGTTACCATAACATATTAACAAGGAGATTATTTCAGTTAATTTGTTCAAATAAATTATCTGACATACAGTAAATGGACATTGTATATAAAATTGGTGGTAAAGCTCATTTCTGAGCCTGAAGTAAAGGCAGCTATAGGTGGAGGGGTGAACGCGGGGTTAGGAAGTCATTTTGATAGAGTTTGCCATTGTAAAGTGTTTGAAGGACCCATACAAGCACACAGGGGGTCAGGGGCATTTTGGGAAATGACAAAAGACGGACGTCTGAATTAGGAGCTGGGTAACTTAGATTTGGGGTTTCCATGGAAACACTGGTTGGGAATGCCAGGCAAGACTGGGAACATCTGCTTGCGTCTGCTTTCTGTTCAGCTTATGTTACTGAATGCCGAAGAGGGGAACCAGTTATTAGGAGTTTCATTTGCAGAATTTTCTTACTCGTTTTAACAGCATGAGTCAGCAGATGACACATTTGTTATATAGATGTTTCCTTGCAGGTGAATCAATAAAGTGAGGTTAAACTAAGGTAAGAGGCAGGCTTGACTGTATAAGGGCAGGGGACTTATGGGAAGTGTGACGTCATTGAAGAGTGAGTGTTTATCTGCGGACACATGACTGCAGGCGAACACCAGCTAATTTTGATGCATGATGTGTAATAAAAGCCAGGAATCAGTTAAGTCAGGCAACAGTCGAATTAGGAGCTGGGTAACTTAGATTTAGGGTTTCCATGGAAACACTGGTTGGGAACGCCAGGCAAGACTGGGAACATCTGCTTGCGTCTGCTTTCTGTTCAGCTTTTGTTACTGAATGCCGAAGAGGGGAACCAGTTATTAGGAGTTTCATTTGCAGAATTTTCTTACTCGTTTTAACAGCATGAGTCAGCAGATGACACATTTGTTATATAGATGTTTCCTTGCAGGTGAATCAATAAAGTGAGGTTAAACTAAGGTAAGAGGCAGGCTTGACTGTATAAGGGCAGGGGACTTATGGGAAGTGTGACGTCATTGAAGAGTGAGTGTTTATCTGCGGACACATGACTGCAGGCGAACACCAGCTAATTTTGATGCATGATGTGTAATAAAAGCCAGGAATCAGTTAAGTCAGGCAACAGTCTCATGAACCACCACAATAAAATAACAAAAAACAATTATTGTTTTCTATTTTAATATACTTTCAAATGTAATTTATTTCTGTGATCAAAGCTGAATTTTCGGGGGATCAGTACATTTTTTCTTTCTTTTTTTTAAAGAAATGAATACACTCTAAAAAATGCTGGGTTAAATATAACCCAGCGATGGGTTAAAAAGGGACAAACCCAGCGGTTGGGTTGTTTTGAACCCAGCGGTTGGGCTGTTTTAACCCAGCGCTGGGTTATATTTAACCCAGCATTTTTTAGAGTGTACTTTTCTTCAGCAAGAATGTGTTAAATGGATAAAAAGTGATAGTAAAGACTTATATTGTTAGAAAATATTTCTATTTATTATAAATGCGGTTCTTTTTTAACTTTTTATTCATCAAAGGATCAAAGAAAAAATTATCACAGGTTCCAAAAAAAAAATTTAAGCAGCACAACAGGTTTAACACTGATAATAAATCAGCATATTAGAATGATTTCGGAAGGATCATGTGACACTGAAGACTGGAATAGGATTCTTTGATAAATAAAAAGTTGAAAAGAACAGTGTTTATTCAAAATTTAAATGTTGTGTTACAATACGCTACTATTCAAAAGTTTGGGGATCAGTACATTTTTTCTTTCTTTTTTTTAAAGAAATGAATACAC